AAAAAGAAAATTGTAGAGACTTCTATCATTGTACAGACTCAGTAACCCTGAGCATACCATTGTATTTAAATCATAACAATAATATTTTGGGGGGGCTAAAGGAGGAATAACAGTACAGTATTTATGCTTTACCTGAACCTGCAGCACAGCACAATGCATATGGAAAAGCTCTGCTTTGTCCAGTACACATATCTCTAAGAACATCAACTACAAGAACAAAAAGTTAATATCATTCTTTTGCCTTTTTCCCCCCATTTTTCAGAATGGTTCATTAGTGTGTTGAAGCATAGCATGTCCATCCTGTTACCCTTATTTATAAAATAAGCTGAAATTTTATGTGTTTTGATGGTGGATGCACTATCAAATCCTTTTTGAAGTCTTCCTCTGCTAACATGTTGTGGATCACATGGTTAATTGTGGCTGCTTTAAACATAAAACTGAAAATATTCTTATTTATATAATCCATATATCACATTTATTTATATATATATATATATATATTGATATGTGGATCCCAAACATGTTGGGTAGCGAGACTTTTCATGTAAAAGAAGACTATAAAATGTGTTTAAATGATCATTTCAAAATAGAATCCAATGATTTGTTTTAATTATCCCTTACATGTAATATATGAGTTATATTTTAAAGCAGTCCAAATGTATACATACAGATAATTATAAGGATGGTGAGATCATTAAAATAAACAAGCATTTTACAAGAAACGGTAACAGTGAAAATTCTATGTTGTCTAAACGAATCAATGGGGTCTCTTGAATATAAATATATATAACTAAGTTCAAATGGTGGACTGGTATATGTCCCATTTACATTGGTCCATACAATGTAAAACTAAGGAAAAATGTTAACTTATTCCAAAAAAATCTTGATTTTATTTTGAAAATAAGTGCATGCTTTACATACTGGGTTCAGTACCAGCTTAGCACAGAGTATGTGAAGCATTCACAGGTGTGATGTCATCTCAGTTATCTTCTCTCCACCTTTTCTCCCTTTTTTGTTTTGTTCTTTCCTAAATTACTAACCAACTAAATAAAATAAAAAGATTTTAGTCATATCATTTTTAATTGAAGGTAATACATCATAAAAAAACTTACTACCTTCAATTTTAGTTTCAGTTTTGGTCACAGCTTGTGGGCAGAGCAGCAGGGGCGACACAGGTGTGTGACTAGCTGTATTCAGCCGGGTCTAATTTATTTGTTATTTCTTTGAGAGCGTGTTGTCCTCTACGCTGAAACCATGATGTGGTTCTTCTTCTTCTTCTTTGGCTTCTTAGTCGCGTGTACAGGTGAGTTTGTTATCTGTCATGTTTGTTTCTTTGTGATATAAAGTTACAATATTATGTCTCCGTTAATTTATAATTCATACCAGCTCTGTTAATGTACCATATAAAAATACTGCCATACTGTCTATGACCTTGTATTTTTATATTTGATATTTGCTTTATTTAGCTTGATGGGTTTAGTTTTAGTTTTCGTGTGATTCTGTAGGTTAAGCGAAACTTGTAAATGATACAACATACTTGTGAAACCTGTTAAACTTGTAATTCCTTGAAAGGTATGACAAAGTTACCAAGTGACAAACAAGAATCTTCTGTTCATAAAATATTTTATTTTCTACTAAACAGCTTTTTTTTCTCCTTCCTATAAACCACATTATCATCTACAGGAGAAACAAAGCGTGGTCCCACAAAGCATCTTAAAACTTGATTTATGAGGCTATACTAATTGGACCAGCTTTCATTATTGTTCATCTAATGTTGTTCATTAGATTGGGCATATTTTTGATGTCATGAGTAGATTGTTTTAAGCTTGTAAAATGTATGTATTCTGGTGTAAAAAAAAAAAAAATAGCCTCTGTTTGTGGCACCTGTAATGCTGTAGATAGTGTCTGATCTGATTTTAAAACCAACATATTCTGTTTTTATGAAAATGAAAAAAGACTCCTTTAAAGCTTTCTGTCTGGGGCGTTAAAGAGGACGACTGTAGTTTTAGTTGTCTAATGATTTTTTTTACTAGAATGACAACAGGTTCTAGTGTTAATGCACGAAGTCAAGTGAGAGGAAAGACAGTAGTGTTGGGTATGTTGTGATTTGGGAAAAGGTGTTGAAATATCAGTTTTTTGTTTTAAAATATTGAGTGGCTCATCCTTTAAGTGGAGATTCTTCAGTCCCCTGAACTGAGTCAGAGTACCAGCCATGTATACATCACTGTTTGTGCCATATGCCAAACTTAAGTCTATTTCTTCTCTAGGAAACCCTGCAAGTGCCTCCTGTCCATTACAAATTAGTCCCCCTAGAGTTGTAGTGAGAC